GCTTATTAGCCAGAATATCAGAAAAAGAGGCTCCATGGAAGCCAGAGAGTATGGGGAAAGGTGCAGACAGGAGGGTTGAGGAAGTGTCTGCCTAAGTTTTTTGCCCATTTTTAAATTGGGTTGTTTGTCTTTTTCTTCTCTGGTGAGGAAGATCAGCTCTGAGCTAACATCTGTCACCAATCCTCCTCTTTTTGCTGAGGAAGATTGGCCCTGGGCTAACATCCATGCCCATCTTCCTCTACTTTATATGGGACGCCGCCACAGCACGGCTTGACAAGCAGTGCATCAGTGTGCACCCAGGATCCGAAACCCTGGCCACCGCAACAGAGCGCGCGCGTCTAACCACTACACCACCAGCCCAGCCCCAGGTTGTTTTTCTTTTTAATGCTGATTTTCAGGAGTTCTTTCTATGTCCTGGATATGGATTCTTTTATCAGATATATGTACTGTGAACACTCATCCATGATATTCTGTGTATCAGTAGTATATTTCTTAAAAATACGTTGAGTGAAAGATTCCATTCATAAAATCAAATATGCTCCGTTTACATGAAAGTCTCTAGAAATGACAAAACTAAGCTGTCACAATAGAAATCAGAACAATTTGCAGCAGTAGGGAAAGAGTGACTGGAAAGGAGCAGGAAAGAACTTACTGGGGTGATGAGAATATTCTGTATCTTGATTGGAGTGGCAGTTACAAAGTATTATACATTTGTCAAAATTCACTGAAATATACACTTAATATCTGTGCATTTTCTTACATATAAAAGAGACTTCAATTACTAAAAGACAAAAAAATTAAGGTACAACTCTGACCCTACCAAAAATGATTCACTTCTGGTTGTAGTGATAATATCAAAACCTTATAACTACTTTCTCATTAGTTACAAATATCTCCCACCATCTACACCCCAACCCCACACACACACACCCACTATAAGGTGAATTCCATCATAAAACACTTAAAGCCTAAAATAACTATCACTGTCAAGGTCAAATCTTTTACTTCTAGATATTTAATAGTGTTACAAAGAAATATTATTAAACAGCCAAACATTCTTTGTTTCATTTTTTATTAAAATAAAGAGAAAATAATGCTGAAGCTATACAATGTCAAGATACAACATATGCGTGGACCAGCTGTTATGAGAAGATAATACCATTTGCTCCCTAAACTACTTCACAGGAATGTCTTTAAGATTAATGAGATAATGGACCAGATCCTTTTTAGTGGGAAAACTACTTGCTGTGGGTAATTTGGGCACTTTAGGGCATAGTAAATCCATCAGGCCACTGGGATCCATTACTGCACTAAAGCAAAATGGTAGACTTAAAAATTTATATTCTGATAATCAAGTTTTTAAATATTCAGAATGGTGCTTTCTGAAGCATAATTTATACTTGAAATGCACTTTTAATTTCTTCAAAAACAAACAAAGCTTTTAATCTGGGAGTTAAACAATAAAGTTCTTCCTTCCTTCTAACATTTAAGAGTTTATCATTACACTAGGCACCCAAGGATAAAGAAATAAAGAGGCAGTCAGTGTCCACAAGAAGCTCACAGTACAGGGAGGAAAATACATGGACCCTAGAAGGATGTGGCAGTTGGCCAAAAGGGAGGGGCTAGGGGCTGTGCAGAGAGTGCTCTGGGCTAGAACCAGCAAATGCAAAGAAAAGCAGACAGCCAAGGAAGCACAGGGCACAGCTGGAGTGTCCTCCAGGGCCAGGGGAGCGCAGGAGATGAAAATGGAGGCCAGTGGGGGCAGACTAGAAAGATCCTCATAGTAAGGAATCAAATGCATGCATCTGGAACTCTAGACAAGACTTCAGAGAGAAATTTGGCAGCCATCAGCTTTAAGGAAGCAACTGAAGTCATCACCCAGGGAGATCTGCAGGGTGCAAACAGAAGACTATCACAGAAATCCTGACACCACAAACAGCTGAAGAAAGGACAGGCAAAAGAAGATTAGGCAGGTGCAGCCAGGTACGTAAAAAACACTCCAACAGAGGGTGTCATGAAACCCAAAGGAGTAAAGAGCAAGAGGGAATAACCACGAGCAGGGACTCGGTGAGAGCAAGGAAGACAGGACTACGGTGTTGTTGGGATTTGATCATTTGTGGGGTCTCAGGTGACCTCAGCAAGAGGAGTTTCTGTGAAATGATGGAGAACAGTGGAGGAAGTGAAGTTCATCTGGACTATGGCTTCCAGTAAGTTTCGTGGTGATGGGAAAAAGAGAGGACCATAGCTAGTAAAGGGTTTAGGTTGAAAGATGGTTTTGAGTATGAGTGAGAGAGAGAGAGAGAGATCGTTATTCGTTTCTTTTGGTAGTTTTGGTTGCTTTCATTTTGAGTTTCCAGCATTTAAAAACTAAGACAAAAGAACCACCAGAAATAGAAATGGTAGGAGAAATTTTTAAAACCAGGAAATAACTAGTAAAGATACCAAATAGGAGAGAAGGATGGGATATAAAAGTTATTAAGAGGGATCTTAGAGGCAGGGGGTCCCAGAACACCACCTCTTCCACTGAGAGAAGAGAAAGCCCTAATGGGGGGTTAGAAACCCGAGAGTCTGTAGGCAGTGGGAGGGAAGTTGAGGGAATTAATTTTCTCTCATTTTGGTGCCATGAGAGCTTATTTCTGTTGAACCAGGACAGGTAGGTTTATTTCTGGTTCCCCAAATATCATTTAAGGAAAAAAAAGCTAAACTTTTATCTATATAAAACAAGTATAAAAGTGAGATTTAAGTAGTTATACATTTCAGATATTCCACTGAATTATTTGCAACAACAAAAGAATGAGTTACAACTGTTTAAAATAAACTTAAATTTTATCAAAATTTAGTCCCTTCAATCACAACATGAAAACATTTGGTTGTCAATCATTGATAAGCAACAAAACCTAGTACAGTCATGTGCCGCATAACGACGTTTCATTAACGACAGACTGCATATACGGCAGTGGTCCCACAAGATTAGTACGATATAGCCTAGGTGTGTAGTAGGCTATACCACCTAGGTTTGTGTAGGTACACTCTACGATGTTCGCATGACGACGAAATCACGTAATGACGCATTTCTCAGAAAGTATCCCCTTTGTTAAGCAACACGTGACTCTATATAACAATATAGTATCAAGAAAGGTTTATTAGAAAATACAAAAATAGAAGCTAACCTTAAGACTCACAATTATGCATCCTTCATGGAATTTGTAGAAACCTTCAGGGAGAGACAATATCTCTACAAAAAATCACATTTCTTCAAATCATAGAAAAGAAGTGGAGGCAAAACTTATGGAAACCGTTATTTGTATTTATGTTGAACTAATGTATGCATAAAAGCTGGTTCCCAAACAATATGCACTATATGATGTTCCACTACAACAGATGACTAACTACACGTGTTCATTGAAAAACTGACTTAATACTTCCAAGTCCTTGCTCCTTTCAACCCATCTATCTCAGCCACCTGTGAGAATCAGAGAATATTATAGCCATCAAACTTATTCCACAATAACTCCCAGTGATTCACAAGGCTGCCTGCCCCCCACCAAAGCATAACAAACGTTCACCATGCCCTACTTCTGAACAGTCATCTTCTTTGGCTCCTTGGCTGCCACTGGGTTGGGGGTGAGCATTTTATTATCCATTCTTGGTTGTCTCCTAGGCAGAGTACCTTCTTTCAGTGTAAATTACTGGAAGCGAGTCCTTCACCCCGACCCCACTTTTACTGGAGCCTCGCGCCAGATCACCTGGAGGCTCAAAGCCGCCTCACCCAGCTCGGCCACACACCCCATGGCCTTTGGCCTCTGCAGAGTTCAGGCATGAGTGGAGCAGGTCCATCAGTTCTGGAGCCCCTCTCAGTTACCCTGGGACGTGAATATTCACACAGATCAAGACAGACCTCGACAGGGACTAAGTGCAAGGATATTTTCATAAATTCGGTATGTGATGTAAACATACTTCACATATTTAACATTCTTAAATTTCCAAGAGATCACTCCTATTAATATGGGCTTTTAGTGCCTCTCAAAAACTTTATCATCTAGCTACACAGGGGTAGAGGAAAGCTATCACTAATAAATGAGCATAAAATAAAATACTTTTCTATAATGACATTATTCCTAAAGATATTAAAGAGTACCATATTATATCAATTTTTAATATAAGAATAGACCTAAGAGAATTGAGATAGAGTAGAAACTCATTATATATTCCTCAAAAATCTATAAAAATAATTACTTTTAAGTGAAATAAGCAAAATGACTATCAGTGAGTATGCGACCATCCAAATAAATTTTTAAAGGGGTGGATAGAGAGCTAAATATAAACACACACACACACATAAGCAAACATATAAGAAATACTTCAAGCATGTGTTTGCAAAAGTTGTGCGTGGTCACGGTAACCCTCTGCTCCAGCTTCACCACGTCAGGGATGTGGCAGATTTAAAAGCTATTAAAGCGAGAGGTGTTCCCCTTCCAACCACAAAGAAAGCAGGAAACAGAAAGAAGACAAGGCTTAGGACTCCTGCACAGCTGCAACTGCACCCTCCAGAGCTGCCGATGGGTGTCAGTCCTGCCCTCGACCCCACCGTAACACACACAGCAGCACCGCTACACCAGACTGTACCAAGGCCCACCTCCTTCCGTGGCAAGAACAAAAGGAGGAGGAACGCCAACACGAAGGTGCAGTGGCCATGGAAAGAGAAGCCAAATGGCTCATGATCCCCACAGGCCCCCAGACTTGAGCTGGAGAAAACTCACTCCCTACCAGGCAGGCAGACAGACAGACCAGAGTCCCTTCTCTCTCTCTGCCCCCATAAGTCCAACTCTACACATATGCCTCAAATTCCAAAACAGGCATTTCAGTTAAATATCAGTCTGAGAGAAAATGGAGTTCAATACAGAAATTCACTTTGTAAAATGTTTGCTCTTTTGTATGACTCTAGATTTGAGGGGATCACTTTTCTGATACATTTGCTTTTACCAAAAAGGAAAACTTACTGTTGATGTGATCGATGTAGTAGACACCAATCTGAGGGTCAAACCCTGCTTCCCATCCCCACGGCAGTTCATCCCCAACACAATCAGCAAACGACAAGGGCTTCGTTAACCTGTAACAAACCAGAACAAACAGAGGTGATTCTTTCCGTCAAACCACATAGGTCAAAATTCAGCACCCTAACCACAAGTTAAGGGTCTGGCTTGCATTTCCTTCTTGTTCTGCATTGTGACTGGAGTTTGCACCACAGTGTTTGAAATCTTAAAGAAAAAGATCGACGACGATAAATATAGAGATGAATATCCAAAAACGTAGCAATAAGTCATCATACCCTTTTGAAAGTTCACAGCTTCAGACTGGGAGATAAATCTATACAATAAGTAAATCGGCCATCTTAAATCAGGGAGCACTCCAAGCTGAGGGTAAGGAGGCTGGGGTATACCTCAAGCTCTACAGCTAAACAGCCGTCCCACTAAAAAGAGCAATGTGCCCCAGGATTCAAATACCAGTATCATGGGAATCGTCATATCAGTACCTCCATGACAGGATATATACATTGGTCTACACTAACTTCAGATTTGGATGCTCTTATATAAAGTCACTAAGCACTCGATTGTGAGGTCCACTATGAGTTCACCTTGAGGGAAGGGACAAATCTTATTGTTATAAGTATCTTGACCATAACAGTCACTCAACAAAATTTTTAATGGAACCAAACACATGAAGTATTTATTTATCAATGTGATCTCACCTTTTGAAACTGCCTTATACCTTCCCTTTAAGCTTTAAAACTAACGGGGAAACTGCAGTTTCCAGAGCAGAGTACAGGTTACAGACTTAATTACGGGTTGATTTTCTCTCACTGTCTTCCTTGTTTTTTGTGTGCGTGTGTGTGTGTGTGTGTGTGAGGAAGATCAGCCCTGAGCTAACATCCGATGCCAACCTCCTCTTTTTGCTGAGGAAGATTGGCCCTGGGCTAACATCCATGCCCATCTTCCTCTACTTTATATGGGACGCCGCCACAGCATGGCTTGACAAGCGGTGCGTTGGTGTGCGCCTGGGATCCGAACCTGTGAACCCTGGGCCGCCGAAGTGGAGCACGTGAACTTAACCCCACTGCGCCATCGGGCTGGCCCCAACTCACTGCCTTCATTTTTGCTTCTGAGATTTTCCTTGGCTCTTAGAGAAGCCACAGGCAGGCTAACACTACAGACTAGCGAGGGCCCTGTCGTAGGGTGGCCAACATCAGCTGATGTATCTTCTAATTTAATGCACTGGCACCACCAGCACAGTTCCTACCTGTGAAGTCACCTGGAATCCCTTTTATCCATGCTAATGAACATCAACCATCTCATAGCTCAACTGAAATATAGGGCATTTCTGGAATCATGTCATTCATCAGAGTAACAAACTGCGTCATCCACCCTTCAGAATGCTGGAAGGGCAATAGGAAAAGAAAAGGAGAGAAACCCTTTCTTCCCAGGCCAAGCCTGCAAGAGCCCTCCCCCAAGGACACAAAACACCAACGGATGCAAGGCAGGAAGTGCCTCCTTTTCTCTCAACTTTTCCACTCTATGAAATCTGCTTCTGGAGATGGCTACGAGGATACTGGCCTTTAAAACCAGTTCAGCTAGGGGCTGGCCCCCACGGCGTAGCGAGTAAAGCTCGGCGTGCTCCACTTCTCTTCCCCGGGTTTGGATCCCGGGTGGGGACTTAGACGGCTCGTCAAGCCATGCTGTGGAGGCATCCCACATACAAAATACAGGAAGATGGGCACGGACGTTAGCTCGAGGCCAATCTTCCTCACCAAAAAAATCCAGTTCAGCTTACAGAAGTAATAATGAGAACAACCAGCTCTACCATTGACTCACCGTGAGACCCTTACTGGGCGTCTTTCTCTACCTCAGTAAAACAGTGTCTAGGACATGATAAGTAATCAATAAATCTTAATGATTATTAATACAAGCACAACATGTGAATTCTTTCATGTACCCTCCAGAGGAACCAGGTCAGCATAGTATAGAGCAGTGGTTCTCTAAGTATAGTCCTCACAACCAGCCGAACCAACATCTAGGAACTGGTAGGAAATAACAAATTCTTGGGCCTTATAGTAGGCCTACAGAATCAGAAATTCTAGGGCCCACCCAGCAATGTAGTATGTTTAATAAAGCTCTTCAGGTAATTCTGGAGAATGTGGGAACCACTGGCTCAGAAGTTAAGAGCTTGACATTTGGCATCAAAGAGACTTGGGTTCAAACTCTTGTTCTGCCACTTACTTGCCGTACAACCAACAGCAGGTTATTAACCTTAAAAACCCCTGTTTCCCAATCAATTTTTAAAAAGGTGGGGGGGGGGGGGCGGTTATAAAGTTTAAATGAGAATAAACAGTATAATACCCGACAAATGGTAAGCTTTACTATATACTAGATGAGTGAAATGAATCTCAGACATATTAAGCAATATGCCCAAATATGGCAACTTGTCATATTTACTTTGTAAACCTGGAGTCAATTTGAACTCAATCTGAGTCAAAAAATTGTGCTCAAATTCGATCTTATATCATAAAGTGCCCGGGAAAATTGAGTTTTCTTTTGACAAAGGAATTAGATACTATATAAAAAAATCCCCATACCATTGGAAGTGGCATGTCCTCCTACACTATGAGACAGATCTCTGACTCCTCAATAAAGCTGATTAGAGGAAGCCCCAATGCCAGGATATCTCCATATTATCCTGTTTGAGGATCTTCGTTCCCTAACTCCTTTTGGGTGCCATCTAAAAGGCACATGCACCCTAAAGAAATGAAGAATAGGGAGACACGGAAATGGGAAGTTTACACGACAAAAGAGATATTACACAAGTTTTATCCTGGTACCAAATCAACATGTTTAAGCATGAGTATGATATGAATACATTTATAACTCTTAGAATTAGAAGTCACAAAACTTCAGAACATGTGCTGTAAGTTATAGTAACTTGATTACACTTGGAAATAATCCAGTTTTTCTCATTAATTGTTCAACAGAAAATAAGGATTTTATTAACTGTCACAGTTCTAAGACTAGAAATATATCTATGAGAATACATGTAATTGTGAACTCAGTTAAAAATTTAGATGTTTCCATTCCCAGAAATTTTAACATAAAAGTTTCTTTGCAGTGTTACTTCAAAAATCAATTTAATACTTTATTTTCTATGTCTGGATAAATATATCTTTTTTCTGCACTCTATCAATAACTAAAATGATTAAATACATATTTATAAATTTCAAAATTTTAGCACTTAATTCTTATCCAAATTACATCATATAAATAGAATAACATTCTCAGGTACCAAACAAACAAAATTAAGCACCCAATTATGCTGCTCTCCTGATAAAGGGAACATATTACTATCACATACTAAGAAGTAACACAAAACAAAGAGAAATAACAGATGTATTCTAAAATTAGAAACAATATAACAAACAAATACAGTGAGCAGAAATGTTAACTTCTAAATTTCTTCCTCTGGTCTTACACAACGCATCTCTGAAATAGTCAATCTTCCTTTGATGTTAAGGAAGTAAAAATGGATGGAGTCTTTTGTTGGTTCCCCACAAAGGAGCAACATCATGCAAAAAGCCTGAAATTAACAAGAGTCTTTATGCTAAATTCCAAAGATTACTCTTTGCTTAAAAAACAGTCTTCCTTTGGACCATGACTAACGTGAAGAAAATGGCAATTTACTGCAGCACTTTGCCAAAGTTTATATACAAAATTTGAACTCTGCATGGTATTGCCTTTTCTTTGGGCCTTATATCATTGTTTTACACAATCTGTCATTTAGTATTTATCGTCAAGTCATGGATACCCGTCCTATGACGTGAAATGCCACACACAGGTATATTTACTCTTCATAATTATACGATGGTGAATACCGCGTGTGTGTAAGCACAAACCCAGAAAAACTGAGTCTGTACTAATTGCACTAAATGAAAAAGCACCTAACAGAGAAAACCATTTTACTAACCAGAGAAGCTTACTAACCTTCAGCCACAGTTCAAGCCTCCCAAATGTACAGTGTAACATGAATGTTAAAGGTCCTCACAGTTGTTTTTACTTCACGGCATCTGCTGCTGTCACTGCTCAGCTAACTCAGAGCAGAGCTGTACTGTCAACTGTCCACGATTACTACAGAGTCTGCCCACAGAGATGTGACTGAACAGCGCTGAGAACAGGGAAGAAGGATGCGGGTCACGACGTGAATTTTAAAGGGAGGGTAAAATACCAGAAATCTTTCTATAGTTCTAAAAGAATTTTAATTTATAATGATGTGGATTAGTCCCCTCAAAACAACTTCTGTTTCTATCACGATTCTAGTTGGGAAACTAGCAACGCACAGGAACAAAAAGAGCAGGAATAATAGGAAAGAGTGAACGGTGGCAGCAAGAAGAAACAGCTTTTATGAGACATTATACAAACCACTCTAGGGGAGGGTAACAGGTTACTTCTGTGTCTTTGAGGAAATTAGCTTAAGTTCTTCAAAAGGAGTCATATTAGACAGGAGAACTGCCAGCAGGGAAGGTTCCTGGCCTGGAGCGATGGGTACGGAGGACACTGCTGCTCCAAGATTCAAATGACCCGCCCAATGCCAAGTGGCTGGGAAAAAGCATAACCAGGCTCACTGCTTCTGATTTGGCTCATGTCATCTTTGCACCTGCTGGGTTCTCAGACCATTCTCGTCTACGTCGGCCCTCGGTCTGGTCTTCCTACCGCTTTTACCCACTGGTGCTGGTTTTATCCCTTGGTGCCAAAGAGAAGTAGTCCAATCCCTCTTCCTTGCGATGTCGGGCTTTCAAATATTTGAACACAACGATCTTGTTTCCCAAGTCTGCTCTCCTAGAACCCAAATGCCCCATTCCCCTCACCATTTCTCATATCCCTCCTCCACTCAAAAGCCTGCCTTACTCCCATCCATTTCTCTCCGCCCTGCAGTCTCACTCCACCAATTATTAAGTATTAATCTTCTCTCATATAGTTAATTTTTTCACCCTCAGCCTACAAATATACTCAACCCCCCACCCCCACCCTAAAAAAGCCTTTTCTCACATCCTCTGGCTCCTTATTTGAC